GGTGCGCCCCCGGCATTTCCTCTCCTCGGGGTATAAGAAAGCGATAGGGGGGGGGGGGGGAGAGGTGTCCCACGCACTAACATACACAGAGAGAGAGAGAGAGAGAGAGAGAGAGAGAGAGAGAGAGAGAGAGAGAGAGAGAGAGAGAGAGAGAAACTAACGCTACAAAGACACTCAGAAAATGACCCTGAAGGACTTCAACATTAATCCCTTAGCGTGGGAGAACCTAGCTCCAGACAGAGGAGCACCAGTCAAGGTGCCCAGCAAATCATATGTGTCACAACCAGGTTGAATCAGGCGCTCGTCAGTGTTTGGACATGTGGAGTTACTGTATCATTTTAAAGAGTGTTCATTTTTTTTTGCTATAGATAAAAAATTGCCCCTCTATCTTCCATAGAAGTCGAGATATTTGCAATTGAAGAAAATGGGGGTTGTCTGGGTTTAGAGGTAAATTAGCGAGAAAATGGCTACAAAAGTTTGATGACTTCGAAAGCTTGAGAGTCCTTGGAAACTGCAAATTTACTTTGTTTGTGCTTTTGATAAACTTTATTCTGAAAACCCCTTGACAAATGTGTTTTTAAATAGACATAAAATCCCCCCCCCCCCCCAAAAAAAAAAATAATTAAAAAATGCCCGACTTTCTTTGATTTGATCTTTTTAGTTAACAAGCGCCTGATTTCACCATGGTGCTTCAGACATGAGGTTTCACGAACAAGAAATGCTGAAACCAAAAGTGAATCTTGCAAGCTGCACACATCCACAAGTGGAAATAGATCTTTTAAAGGCTCAAATTGCAGCAACGTTTTGTTTTTCAGAACTAGTCTAATTGGCCGTAGTAGCCTAGCCTAGATACTCACAGAGAGTGAGAGAGAAAGAAAGAGAGAAAGACAGAGGGGGAGAGAGAGAGAGACATAGATAGAGAGAGAGAGAGACAGAGGGAGAGAGAGAGAAAGAGAGAGAGACAGAGAGAGTGAGAGAGAAAGACAGAGTGGGGAGAGAGAGAGAGAGAGAGAGAGAGAGAGAGAGAGAGAGAGGGAGAAATAGAGAGAGAGAGAGAGAGAGAGAGAGAGAGAGAGAGAGAGGCAAAGATTTCTTCCTTAAACCATGCATAAACTGGACCTGAAGGAAGAGACTGCAGTAAGATAGATAACTCCACCCTGTATGGGCGATCACCACGTCCAAACCGCCGTGTTACTGTTGGCGTGTGTCACGACGCAATAAAATCAGGTCCTCGTCAATATTAAGGGCATATATAAAAATATTGGTTTCATTGTAGAGATTGTTCATTTGTCTTGTCTTTGGCGGAAAGAATACCCAGATATCTTGAATAGAAGTCGAGATATTCGTGATTTAAAGAAGTAGGGGCGACTGGTGTCAGAACGTAACTGCCAAAGTTTGGTGTTTTAAAAAGAATGATAGTCATTGGCAAATTAATTTACATTTTCTGTGCCTTAGATCAACGTTTCTCAATTACATTTATGCATTATGCAGCAACGCCAAAATGTTTAGTCCAAAAAAAACACAAAAAAATTAAATTAAAAAGTAAAAAACAACAAAACAATATCAACAACAAGAACACATACAAATGAAATAGAAACTGTAAAACGGGCAGAAATCTGCTTCGTTTTTCGAGTTCACTACCACAGCATGATTTCGCAACGATGCCACCAAACTCACAGTATTATCCCCCCCCCCCTTTATGGGAAGGTTGTATGTAGCAATAATATCTGATTCTGTACGGGTAGGGTCGGGGGTAGTGAGTGTTAATGGTCGGTAAATACACTGCAAATACTGCCAGCAGTAGTCGGGGATAAGGGCTTAGTTAACACTTGAAGTTGAAGGCTCACGGGGATTCAGTCTGGATATTAAAAACAGGCAGCGAGGTACTGCAGAGAAAAACCCAACCCACTTAACCCCTAAACTAACCCTGACCAAAGGTGGCTCGGGTTGAGTTTATGTGGTTTTTCTTTTCTATCAAACATCCATCGTCCTTATCTCCACTCCTTCTTGTTTGTGTGTGTTACTCTCATGTAATAGGGACGGGATAT